GAAGAATGAGTGACACCATTGAGAAAGCAATTACCCTGAAAGTCCGTCGCACTTACAGATGCTGATCCAGCACAGACTACGGAAACCAATGTCTCGGTTGGATTAATTTTTAGGAGTGCTCTCGCTCTGGAACCGGAAATCGAACCAAAAAGGTGAGATTTTAATTTGTGGAATCGGGAATCGGCCCACCTGATCTTCAAATCCGACCGACCGGTGAAGTAAGGGGTGGCGGTGCCGCCCCCAGTACCTTCAATCCCCTAGCAGAGGTTTTTTCCTTTTTAATCTGATTTCAATTAAAGTTACGAGGAAAATGGTATGGTTCTGGTCATTATTGCACTTTTCATTAGCAATGTAGAAAAGAGAAAGTAAATATTAGAGCAGACAAAAGAAAAAGGAGGTGTGTTGGCACTTGCCGGGAGAAGTGCGATGTCATCTCCGCGGTAGTCTCCCTTTAGGACAAATTCATACCCTCCCCGTACAACGTCGTCATACTAATACCGTTTATTTATTTTATCAATTCTAGATTTTTATAGCACTCTGAAAAAGAATGATATTTTGCCCTACCAATCACACATCAGTTTAGTTGTGATTTCCAATCTGTACCTTTTCAAATTGGATGGACTGACTTATTAACAAAATGTTTAAATCAAACGATAGAAAGATTTTAGATTAATTGACTTCGTTTTATTTTCACCTCATTATCTCTCATAAGACTTACTAACAAAGAATAGTGTAGGAAACGGAAAATGTTTACCAATTAAAGGTTTTTCTTTTTATATCTTTCATTTTCTAAACGTTAATGTTTATTAGACTAATCAAACTCTAGGTAGAGGAGTACTAAATGAACTTTTGCTCTCTAAGCTTTTTCATTAATCTTTAAATATATACTATTTTGGAATTATTTAAAGTAATAAAACTTTAGAAGAAGCATAAAGTTGGGAGACATCTCACGGAAGACAGGTGATCAATTTACTACTAGGCAAACCACCTTAGTGGTAGACACTTTGACCTATTTGAATTGCATAAAGGATGGGGTCATTGATTGAGTAAAATTGGCTCCAATTAGTGACAATGATCAATTAATCCACAATTGCCTTCGGGACATGGAAGTTACAAAGATCATGAGAAATGGAGGAAATCATAGAAACATGGAGCAGTTAGAAGAGGTTTGCCTATGAAATTCAATAACCATTTAAGGAGATCCAAGGATTATAAATAGAAAGAATAGAAGAAGAAGGCACACTCAAGCCATGCCAAAACTTTGCCAAATTTCCCTCTACAGTATTTTCCTTTAGAAGCAATGTTTTTCCATTTTAATTTCAGTTATAGGTGTCACGCCCCGAACCCCATCGAGCTCGCAACATCCCTCTTCGGTCGAATAATGCGACGTCCCAGGAACATCGCCGACCCAACCTAACACATCAGAGTTCGAACAAGGCGGAGACGAGAACATAAACCCTGACAATAAAATCATGGGGTAATAGGGAGAGACAAATCACCACCCACCAAGCACTATATTACACTGTGATATATTTACAATATCAAATACAATCCATCATATACAACAACCAACCACTTCATACACCCACCATATTCACAATAAAACTATTATACAAGCATACCGGCTTCTAAAATTCACACCGCTAACATCAAAAGAGATCAGTAGTCTGGGTGCAAACTAACTCCAAAAAGGGTACTTAAAAAATGATCACCCTACCCTCAGCTAACCCCTACGAACTCTAGATGGTGTCCACTCCGGGTCAGTCTCCTCCGAACTTGAATCTGACTCCCCCTGATTCGCCTGCTCCTCTGACGACTCAGAATCTGCCTCAATCTCGATCGGATTATCTATAGGATATTTTACTACTGCATGGTCGGTGTGCATAGGTATGCCAAAACGTTGAGGCGGTGGTGGTGGAAGATTCATGGTCCAGGTCGGGGTTCTGAAAATGTTAATTTATACCACTATGAGACGAATCTCAATAAGTCGACAGCCTAAACCCCACTTAGGCTATCACGTACCTCCAGATAAATCCAAACACATATCATTTAATAAACACATATATACACACAATGCACTTACCTGGACTCTTAGTGCACACAACCTGCGCGTTAGTCTCAAATTCACAAATTTCAAACCACATGCACTTTCCAAACTATTCTCATGCCCAAAAGCAAATGTCGAACACATGGCATTTCCGAACTCCGCATTTCACATTCATTCATGCACCACCACACCATTTTCATTAACTTGCCAACGACCCGCGTAAACACACCTTAGGTCCGATCTTACTTTCACTTGCCACATCACACATTTCACTTTCAATTTCTTTCCACGGCCCGCGTAAACACGCCTCAGGCCCCACGTTCCTATCGCGACCCGCGTAAACACGCCTCAGGCCCGATCTCATTTCCACTTGCCACATCACACATTCCTATTGCGATCCGCGTAAACACGCCTCAAGCCTGATCTCACTTTCCACTTGCCCCATCACACGTTTCACTTTCAATCTCTTTCCACGGCCCGCGTAAACACGCCTCAGGCCCCACATTCATATCACGACCCGCGTAAACACACCTCAGGCCGGTTCAATTCCCCGCGTAAACACGCCTTAGGGATTAAGTGATCACGCGAATATGCCAACACGCCATATTTTATCTGTACCCCGCGTAAACACGCCTCAGGGCTTTTTAGTGATCACACGCACATCACACGCCTCAACTCTCACACGTTCACATACTCAAATATTAATTAAATGCACCCAAATGCACCCAATTCAACCATTTCAATTCAGCCTCTAGAACATACACACAACCATCATATAACATGACATTTTTCATCACAAAAATCATGGCACGACAAGCACGGCACTACACTACAATTTCACGCAATTAAGAACCAAACCAAATTATGCACCCTACACCCAAAACCGAATTTTGCAGTGCCTATACCAGCCATACTCAGCCCTCACTTAGCCTCTAAATATTCACCAAATCACCACAAATTAGTCCATAAGGCCCCTCCTCCAAAACAGCCCGTAAAACTACACTAAACCGTGTCTAAACGAGCCCGTTAGTACCCGAAATCCTAAATAGGGATTAGGGTGTCACTTACCTGAAATTTCTAGGCAAGAATAGCCTCTCAAGGGGGCGGCAAGGCAGCAAAGGAGCAGCGGCCACGGCGGTCCGGCGGTGGAACACACGGCGGACGGCGAGCGCGCAGCGATCCGGCACGGCTCCGGCCAACTCACGGCCAAGGGGGAAGGGAGAGGGTTGATTCGGCCAAGGGGGAGAGGGAGGGGGTTTTGGTGTGAATGAGATGGAGAGAGAGAAAGAGAGAGAGAGAAAGGAAATTAAATATGAGTGACACCAATAATTGGTGTCCTTTTCCTAGCCAAAATTACCATCTTGCCCCTCTCTCTACTTTCCATCCGATGGCCAAGATTTGTTCTTATCTAAGGATCAACGGCCAAGATCAATCCTTACCAAAAAAATATCCAAGGGTAAAACGGGAATTTCACAAAAAGTGCAGGGGCAAAATCGTCCAAAAATTTATATTTTTAAAGTGAGGGTGAAATAACCAAAATGCCCTTCCACTTTTATACTTAGCCTTCACAAAATCCTAGGGGCAAAACGGTCATTTTCCACTTCCTGTCAAAACTTCAATTTTCTGACAAATCCGGACAAATCCGAAGCTGACCACAATCATAACGACGTCGTCCAATTACTCTGTCATGACTTTCACAATTTTCAATACCGAAACTCAGTCTCTATTTAATGACCAAACTCAAATAAACGCAACTTGAGCTTATCTCAAACTAACGGGCGGCTTTCGGGAAAATTCGTATATTCGACCCGTGGTCGATACTAAATCGAGCCACGTTTAAGTTCACTTGAACCATGGCGACCTCGATTATCATGTAATTGCGAGGATCAATTATTAGTTCTAAAGAACGCGATCGTTTGGAATAGGTTTGAGATCGTTTGCAAATTCGTATTTTAGCAAGGCCGAATCACCCGCGATCCAATTATACGACATTTGCAAATCGATCCCTGACCATCCTTAGATCGGTTTATATTAGCCCAAAATATCACCTCGACAATCTTTATGGTCGAAAGTCAGTCCATGGTCAGGTTCTATGGTCGCGCGAATCTAAATCCCTAATTAGCCTTTCCCTACTAGTTAGTATCCCAAGGGTGATCAATTCTGGGCGAGATTCACTACAAGTACGTTATTGAAATTACGCATTTCATAAATACTAAGTGGGTTGAAATTTAGAATGTCACAATAGGTTTAAACTTATATAATTCATAATGTGCGTTTATGAATACTAGTGTAATGTTCGTTTCAATATTTCCAATTGAGGGATTTGTAACTTTCCTTCGATTTCAATTCCAGTCGAATTTGCTTTCCAATTATTTCTTTTCTTGTTCGCTTTGATTTCCTTTAATTTCATTCCTTTGATTTCTGCACTGTTCTTTTAATTTCCTTTGATTTTCCGTTCCTTCGAATTTACTTTTGAAGCAGTTTACTTGTTGTCATTTAAATCAATCTAGCAAATTCCATTTCTCACTTTGCTCTCAAGAGCTGGCATGCCTTTTTAATATATCCATCATTCAATCCATCTTTGAAAAACCTATTTTCTGAAGAATTTGATCACTTTGTTGTCAAGTCAGAATTGGAGAACAAGCTTTAGTTAGTTTTCCCAATCACATATTTGCCAGAGTAGCCTTAGGTAGAAATAATTCCAATAATTGTGGTAGACAGCCAGAGTTGCTGCTATCAAAAATCGGAATTGAAAAGGGGGTTGATGTAGAGTTGGACATAGCATTGGAGGAGGATGTAACTAAGCATGATTTTCGTACAGATGGTTGACGAAAAAAATGCTCCTTGAACTATATTCTATAGGCCAAATGAATACAGACCGTTGATATGTGCTGTGACCACAATCTTTTGAGGAGAAAAACTTGCTTAGACGATGGAAGACTGACAAATGAGCTACAGCACCAAGGGGGAAAATAGTATTAGCATTATTGTCAAGAAGACTCGTGGCTGTACTCGAGCCATCTAGAACCTCAAAACATTTCGACCAAAGCAAAAAAAGAACCTCAAAACATATATCAAATTTTGCCCTAGGTTCACGTCTCCCCAAAAATGCGTTGCCGAGTGTCGGTTACTTCCGGGGACGGTAATACCCATAGACCGCATAAAATGCTTGAAGGACGGTAAGACCCAACAGAAGAATGGCAGCAATAGCCGACATGAAGGACCAAGGACTACCAAAGTATTTGTTCTTGAACCCCGTCCAAGTCATGCGGCATGGGCTTCGGTGGTATCTGTTCACTTGCCTAAATAACTCGGCCAAATAGCTTATCTTGATACTAAAAGCAATGTCCTTACCCAGATCATTGAAGAAAGTCGCGACCTCTGCATTCGATCCCAAATAATTCACTAGTAGTTGGTTCTCAGATAAGAGCTCTGCATCCGCTTCTGTGCCCACGAGACATTTCATAAAGATGATGTAACTGGTCATGTGCCTGGAGGAGTAGCAGTAACACTGCTCAAAGGCGATGCAGTTGGGTAAGAAGAAGCTCATGAAATCGTCTAGAGTCAAACGAGGGATTTGAAGTTCACCACGATTGAAATTGATGTCGAGTAAGTTCAAGTTGTCACCCTTCCTCAGCTTGCATTTAATCCCGGAGCGAAGAAGCTGCCTCGCTGATGGGATCAATTCTAAGCAGTCGTCATTGGCATTTACACCTTTTTCCACATCCCAATGGCCGACAAGACTCAGTCGGAACAAGTCAAGCAAGTGTTTGGCTTTGCTTACCGTGTAGAACTTCTCCAGTTGTCCCTCTGGCCTTTGAGCCGCGATGTTGAAGAATAGTAGCGCGAGCTCACTGAGGGAGCGTTGGTTGGCTTCATTCTCAGTGTTGCCATTCGATAAGTTGAAAACCTCTTGAAGGACAAAGAAAGGGATCTGGTTTTCGATCCGCAGAAGGTCCCTTATGAGGATGATGTACATCCATGGCGTTGCGAAGAAAGGATCGTCGAGATCAGGCTCAAATACTCCCCCACAGATGCGGAACACCTCGACAATAAAGCAGGCATCGAGGACCATCATCTCCACTAGAGCCGAGCTTTCACAATGAAGAAGCTCTGAGTAGCAATCCCGAATGTCATTCTCCCTCAATGCAATGGCATTGAAATAGTCGTCAAGGCCCACGCCGCTATTTTTAGTTCGTTCGAGGAGAGTGGAGAAGAATCGAGGTTTGTGCTGCTCGACCATATTCAGCCGTTGTTGGCCATGGTGGTATGGACCGATGGAGACGATTTGGGGCTCGTAAGCCTTCTCGTTTATCTGAAGCAGGCTTTGTGGGGCTCTGAAAATGCAGCAGGAGCGCTTACTGGCAGAGGGTTTCAGAAGAGTCGGCCATTGCTTGAACCGCATCTCCATGGAATATGACCATTTGCTCGGCACCCCGATCACATGGCAGTCCGTTTCTCGGGTGATCTGGTCTTGGTTTCCTCCTCCGGCCATTCGTACCTAAGGAAAAATCTGCAAGAAAAAAAAATCAAGGGAAAAATCTGCTGAAAAAGAAAGTTGCCTGAATCAGAATGTGCCGTTTGGGCCTGCACGAGAAGCTGTTCATTCAACCGCTAAGGTTCAAACAAGATTTCGCCAACAGTGACGAGGTGTTCATCATCCACCGATTTGTTTTTCTTTTTCTCTCTTCGATATAATGGTGGCTGTGCAAACCCTTACGGCACGATGCCAAAGCCCTTGAAGTTGAAGGGATTTTCAGCACGAGAACTGATCAGTGATTATGTGCCGACTGACTGACTGACTTGTTAGTTGCGACCCACACCGGAATTCTATATCCACCAGCACATATATATGTACACTAGTGTAAGAATTAGAAGGAAAACATAACAGGAACGTATCTTCAATGAGCATCATGCCCACTAAATTATATATAGCCTTTTCAGTCGATCAATACATAAAAAATGCAAGAGAAATTTCCCAGCACGCACGCGAGCATTCGAGCTAGTCTAGGGAAGTAGTTTGGCTTAGTCCAAGGAGAAACGGACAAAGGACGAGTAGTTCGCTCTAGTTTGCTCACACGCATCGCGCTTCGAACAATGTCAACAATGGACAGCGGCGGCGGTCTGAAATCTTTCTTCAATTAATTGCTCACACGCCATCGCACCAGAGTAGATCGCCCTTCACCTTCAGTGAAGTATTTATAAATCCTACATGATCGGTGTTCTTCTCATGTACACATTGCTTATTATAGAGGAAATTTGGTTTTTTTTTTTAATTAACAAACGATACTATGGCCGACATTCACGTCAGCGTCGGCTAGCCAAAATTGGCCGGACGGACTGAATTGGTAAAGTTGAAATGTTTTTGACTGAATTGGCAAAAATGTAATAAGTTTATGATTTTTTAAATAATTTTTCCCAAATTTATAACTTTTTCAAATATTTTTATACGTGCTCGGCCAGCCAATGAATCAACATGAATTGGCTACTACTTGGCTGCTGGTTGTACTCGTTTGGTTGATTTGTTGTAGTAGTGGTGGTTTGAGAAGTTTAATGTTGAATAAAATTGGTTCCATCCTCATACCCACTTAAATAGGGATACTCAGCAAAAAAGTACTGAACCTATTATGTTTGTGCTAATTCAATCCCAAACATATCAATTTGACCAATTTAGTTCTAGACCTTTTGACAATTTGCAAATGTGGTTCATCCAGCCAATTTTGGCAGAAAATTGCTAATGTGGACGTCGGCCGTCTTACCGGCCGTCTTACGTAGCATGGTTGGCGAAAGCTGGTGCTGACATTGATAATTTTTTTTTAATTTTTTAAATATTTTTAATTTTTTATTTCTTTTCTTCTCTTTTCTTTCTTTTCTTTTTTTTTTCTTTTCACAGCGGCCGGCAAGCTTCAGCGACACGACCCTCACCATCAAACTTCTTAAGCCGCCACTTATACAACAAACCAACCAAACAAATACAAACAGCCACAAAGTAGTCACCAAATAGAACCCACACAAGAGTTTATTCCCGTTGACTCATTTCATGGCCGATCATAATCTGATATCTTATGGCAAATTAAATGGTTTGACAAAATAATATATTACTGTTTAACTCGAAATTGGCATGTTTTGACTCATATTTAGTTGAAAACACTTTGTAATCACATTAATATAAAATGACAATCACATTACACGAACAACAGACAGTTCAACATGAATTGCTTCCTCGTTTAGTGACGCAATCATATCTCTATTTGATGTTCAGGTTAAGTGAAATAAGTTGCACTTGGATAGATTATAGCAAGCGATGTTTGGTATGTTACGACTGATTCAAAAAAATAATCTATTAAATGATGTGATGGTTTTACTGTTTAACTCAAAATTGACACGTTTTAATCCTTTTTTATTTGAAAACACTTTGTAATCACGTTTTAATAGAAGCTGATAATCACATTACACGAATAACAGATATTCAACAAGAATTGCTTCCTCGTGAAAAAGATTTACTCATATCTCCATTCGGTGATCATATTAAGGCTCCTTTTATTTCGCGGAAAATGTGACGTTTCTGGAAAATATTTTTCTGGAAGCCATTTTCTTGGAAAATGATAATATTTTCCGCTCTTCGACTGAAACCTGAAAATCAACTAGAAAATATTTTTTGCCGTTCGGTATGGAAAATTTGATTTGATTTTCTTCCTTGTACTCCTTTTAATAATATTTTATTTTATTTTATTAAAAAAATTCGCATTTTTAATTATTTTTTTATTTTAAATAATTTTTATTTTTAATAATTTGTCATATTCCTTTTCTTTTCTTTTTTCTCTTCTTCCTTCCTCTGCCAGTCGCCGGCCACAGCGACCACCGGTGACCGACCATAGGCTAGCCTCACCGGCCTTGAGCTCGGCCTCACCCGAGGCCGGCGAGGCGAGCTACTCTCAACCTCTCCCAAGGCCGATGAGGTAAGGCTCAAGCGAGGCCTAGCCTCGCCTATGACCGGTTGCCAGCCACGGGGGCCGGCGACTGGCAGAGGAAGGAAGAAGAGAAAAAAAAAAGAAGGGAAAAAAAGAAAAGAAATATCTAAAAAATTAAAATTTTGATTTTTTAACAAAATAAAAAAGAAAAGAAAATAATAAAAATAAAAGTAAAATGTGTTTTGTGGAAGGAAGTGACGTGAAAGAAGATGTGGAAAATGTTTTCCGCTTTTTGAAAAGCGGAAAACATTTTCCTCACTTTTAAAGGTATTTTTTCCATTGGTGGAAAATGTTTTCAATGACCAGTTTATTTTCTCTGTAACGAACGTTGGAAAATCCAGAAAACATTTTCCCGAAAGTTATTTTCTGTGAAACGAATGGAGCCTAAGTGAAATAAATTAAGTCACGCTTGGAAAAATTATGGCAAGCAATGCTAGGTTGACTACGACTAGTTCAAAAAATTAATCTATTAAATGATATGACAAACTGTAAGCGAACATTAATAAGTGGGTCATATTCAACAACGAATAAAATCTATCGTATATTTAATATTTCCTAATTATGATATGAATTGGAGTGTGTATATGAGGTTCATTTGAACTATTGAATTGTGTGAACTCTATGGACCTTTCACATATATATAAGGCTCATTCGACTCAATGCTCTAAATATGTTTGTCATACACTTCGATTGCATGTAGTGAGGTCTCGGAAATTTGGTTGGTTTTGACCTTTTCTTTTCTAGCCATAGCAACGTCTTTTGATTAATACGAAAATCAAATTTCCTATATAAACAATGTCTACATAAGGAAGAACATCGATCGTGTAAGATTTATGTATTTTTCTTTTTGCTGGGTAAGCAAATGAATTATTCAAATAAATGGGTATATGCGGGGATTTATTCTACTTCAAGCCCGATAGAAATCCATTCCCTCAACTCCAAATCTGGCAATCAGCTAGAACTACAAGAGAGGTCAAATCTCATAGTGTTGACACCTATAATTAATTAGGTTATCGACAATTGAAATAAATAAAATAATAAAAGATGTCAAAGGATGACGTAGCCCATACGAGACGGCTCACATAAGTAAAATAGCTAGTAAGCACTGGGAGATATCAGTGGGAATTTAAAATTGAAAGAGCTTGAGAGTGAGCGCTAAAGTTGTCGACGAAAGATTGTCATCGAGGACGTTGACAAGTAAAAAGGCAGGTGTCAAGCCAGGAAGAGCTCGACGATAGTTCCTGCTTAGGAAAGACAGGTGTCAAGCCAGGAAGAGCTCGACGATAGTTCCTGCTTAGGAAGGATAGGTGTTTATCATCCTGGGAAGAACATGTGTTATAATGAGATGAGTTCGATGACCGTTATCATCCCGAGAAGGGCAGGTGTCAGAATAAGAAGAGTTTGATGACGGTTATCATCACAGGAAGGACAGGTGTCAGAACGAGAAGAGTTCGATGACGGTTATCGTTCGGGGAAGGATAGGTGTTAGAATGAGAAGAGCTCGACGACGGTTATTAGCAGGAAAGGATAGGTGTCAGGATGAGAGGAACTCGATGACGATTATTGCCTCGAGAAGAATAGGTGTCGAGACGGTATGAACTCGACAGCGGTTACCACCTCGGATAAAAGATAAGATCGATAGCAGTTGACGGACAGATGTCATTAGATGGACGGTGAAGATGGGATCAATGGTGGTTATCGAACACGATGTTAAAAACGGTTACCAAGCTCACACTATAAATAGCACTCGGCTTCCAGAAGAAAGGCCCCCCCCCCCCCCCGAACACAAACCAAAATACTGTCTTTTTATCTTTACTTTCCAGTATCACACCTTTAGTTTCCGTAGCTGTAGCTGTTTATTTTTCAAGTCAGTAACTTTGTAATATCGTATCGATGAATTTCGGACGCCGCCAATAACTGGACGGATTCGTTTGAGTCCTCTATAAATCTAAGTCAAACTTTGTCATTGTACGGAATTTTTGTTATCAATTAAGACAATCAGACTCTTTGCTCACGCCTGGATCACTCCTGTCCAGAATTAGACCCAGAACCCGATCTCCTCTAATTAAAAATCGAAGAACGACTTTCGATGAATTATATTTCGTCGCAGGAACCATTTCTAACGAAACATAATTTTGGCATGCCTGGTGGGACCTGCGTGGTCAATTGGAGGAGCAACGATGATACGGACGAGGAGTCAGAGCCAATTGGATCAGAATAACAACGTTGTAGGGAGCAGCGCACCTCGAATCCTACTGTGAAGCAGGTGACATGTGTGGAATCATCAAATGGACGGACAATGGCAGAACAAGGACCAACAGGGGAAATGGATATTCCCAGGCATCTCACTGAGGAACAAAGAAGGCAGTTGGAACCGAATCCTATTACACTTGCTACTATGAAAAGAATCATGGAAGAACAGCATAATAATCTAGCGGGATAAGTGCATTCAAAGTCCTAAAACTTATCACGAAAGTACAATTGAGTCCTAAAACTTTTAAAAAGTGCAAACAAGTCCTAAAACTTGTCACGAAAGTACACTTGAGTCCTAAAACTTTCAAAAAGTGCAAATAAGTCTTAAAACTTATCACGAAAGTGCAAACAAGTCCTAAAACTTATCAAATTGGTTC